TATTTAAAAATAAAAAGTTAAAATTGAAGTTTTGTTTTTTTTTATAAATAATCATAATTTTTTATCATTTAAATACAAAAAATTCATCCCTTTATAAAATAGTTTTTGAGTAAATGATTTTAAATATCATTTTAGATCCAAAGTCAAATCATATAAAATTTTCTTAATATTTCTTTTCAAAGCATAAACATTTTTTGAAAAAAAATTAAGAATTTACTTTTCAATTTTATTTTATTCAACTTTTTCTAGTTTATTTAAATTATGTTAATTATTCTGAATTTATTAAAGCAACTCAATAATTTTAATTTCACATTCAAATAGAGTTTCGGCTTAAATTAAGAAGTATTTAAATTCATTAATATCCAAAATTAAATTTTCATCAATTATAATATTATTTGTAATAACAATTTAATATTATTAAGAGTTATTTTTAGATATAGAGAATTAACAATAGTTAATATAATGATTAAAAATATTAATAATATAACTTAATTAATCATATTCATTTTTATCAACTTTAAAATTTATTATTCTTTCACAAACTAAATAAACAACATTATTATCTATTTCAAAATTTTTCATATAATCAAGATTATCAATCCCCTCATTATTGGTATCATAATGCATATTTTTTTAAATATATAAATTTATATCATATAGTTTATTATTATGCAAATATATTAGTTAATGCTTATGATTTTCATATTAAATTTATGATGTTATTTATTTTGCTCCCAATAGATTTAAATATTCAATTAAATTAGACTTTTATACTTCATTATCATTATATTTTAAAGTTTCTGAAATAATTTCTGATTTAAAAACATATTTTTTAATTATAATTAATAACTAATTTAATTTACCTCGAGAAATATGTTCTTAAGAAATAAAATTTTTAGAACAATCTAATAAATTAAAATTAAATTAATTTTAATCTAATTAGTTTGCACTTGTAGTTGTTGAACAATCTGACTATTATGATGTTTAAGATTTAAGCAAAATCATTTTAATAGTTTAGTGAATTTTATTAAAGTAAAAGAATAAAAAATAATATAATATTTATAAATAAAAATATTATTATTATTTTTTTTTTAAAAAAAAAAATTATTTGGATATTAGTTATTAATTTTCACTAAAAAAAATATATTTTTTTAAAATAATGTAAAATAATAAAATAAAAATATACATTTTAATATATTTATTAAAATATGTAAAAAAGTATTTATAAATTATTATTTGCTGAATATATTTAATTAGAATAATTTTTATTTTTTATTGATGTTATTATTTCATTATTTATATAATTAAGAATAAATAATTATCTATTATTTGCAAATATTATTTATTTATTTTTTATTTATTCAATATTATTATATTTATAGACTATCATCATTTTAAAAATAATATTAATCTGTAATATACTTATCCATAATTATAATAAACTCAATATTAATTATAATTTGTTCATATTGTTTTTTTATTTTTTCAGTTATTTTTTTTTTCTAAAACAAAAAAACAGCAACAACAAAAACAAGAAAAAAATTGATAATTCTTTCTTTTTTTTTTTGATAATTTTTTTTAAAAAAATAATAATAATTATTAATTAAACTTTCGATATTTAGTTATAAATTCAAGTTTTTAGATATTTATTTATCATAAAAAATTTATTAATACATAGTACCTTTATTGAAAATGAAATAATTTTTTAATATTTTAGTTATTTATTAATTATTGAGTTTCTTTTGTTCAAAAAAATAAATTTCAATATATATAATTATTAAATTTCTACTTTTAAAATTACTTTGCAAATAATTTAAGTTATTTTTAATTTTAAAAATGTTAAAAATTTAGTTCTGTCTTTAAATTTAAACGTTAGTTTTAAAATATATGAAGTTAATTTTAAATTTTTTTTAGTAAGAATATTTGTATTATTTTACTTTAATTTTTTTTTTTTTTTTAAATTTTAATTTGATACATTTAAAAAAAGATTTAGATGCAAAAAATAGATTAAAAACT